AAAAAAAAAAAAAAAAAAATCTGTGGCACCTTAGCCCTGTCCTCCTTGTCCTCCTTGCTCTTGTTGCCATCGTGCTTGTCGGTCTTGAGATGAATTCTCTCCAGGTAAATCTCCTCGTTGTCCTCTGCGTTCTCTGGGTCGCCCTCAGTGTCGCTACTGAGGTGGGCTCTGCCCTCGGTCCTCCACCCTCCATCCTCCTGGTCCTTGCTGTGCGCCCCTCAGGAGAGAACCACCTTGGTCTGGCGGCGCTGGTGCACACTGGTGAAGCTGCTAGGAACAAGTGTGAGGTGGGACAGGGGTTCTTGGGGTGTCCCTTGAGCCAGGACTTGAGCTGCCTGTGTTCCTGGCATGGCGTTCTTGGATCATCCAGGGGTCCCCATAATGAAAATGGCCATAGGGATAATAAGCCTGTGCAGTGTGAGCTGCGAAGGTGACAGGGTGCACCCAGGACTGTCCTTGAGTTCACCCTGCAATCCTGGCAGCCACAGGGCAGGGCCAGGGGTGGGGGTGGAGAATGGGGAGGTGGAGAGGGAGAGAAAGAGAGAGAGGGATGTGTCCCAGAAGCTGGAGAAGTCAGGAGCAGCTGAGCCTGTGGGCTAGAGGCCTCCCTTGTGCTTTGCAGAGCCCGACTCCACCTCTTAGAACAGGAAGCACCCAGCCCAATCCACTGCTGGGGGAGATGGCAGATTAAAAACCACAAGCCGACTCCAAGAACTGACCTTTCACTGACTATGGAGGTCTTTTTGTGTCGCTCTAGCAAAGTTCCAGAAACCACATCTCTCCAGAAGAGCAGCCAGGAGCTGTGGACCCTACTCATTCCCTAGGCCACCCTTGGTCCCCGCCAACAACAGCTCAAGAAACCAAGTTGATCTTACACTGGCTAGAGGGAAAAGCCTTTCAACTAGGGTGATAAAGCCTCAAAACCCCCACTTACCCCTGCGGCTCCTCCCTCTCCAAGCAGGGATCTGGCAGGAGAGCAAGAAGCCAGCCACATCTTTCATCAGCTGCTCCTGGTTCTGAACTCCATTTGGACTTGGGGAAGTGAACCCCTGGAGGAGGCACAGAGAAGCTTGGGCCAGGTAGAAGGGAGATGCGGGTGGCAAGACAGAAGCCACCCGGGGCTGCAAGGAGCAGGGCTCAGATAGCTGGACAGGCCCACCAGCATGGAGGGCCCCAGTTCCCTTCTCACCCCCAGCAGGCTCTGTCCTGTCCTGCAGGGCTCCTGTGCTGACCAGCCCCCACCTTGCCTGGTGAGATGTCTGGTCGAGGGAATGTGGAAGGCCATGCTGCTGATAAAGCTTGCTCCCTTGCACATATCGAGGATCATCTCCTGGTGCTGAGGATCTACTGTGGAGACAGGACCTGATGACCTCCCACCGCCGTTGGTGGGGTAGGATGCCTGAGCCTTGCCTGACAGCTCCTTGTGGAGATGTCCGCCTGCCTCTCTCGGAGGCTGGGTCATGAGCTATGCCTGTCAAGGGCCAGCTGCTGGGACCAGGCTAGGGGCTCTCCCCTGGCATCCATGGCAATCCCCACTGGGCTGTCCTCTATTGCAATGGTTTCAGGCAGCTCCTTCCCCCCTGACCAAGATGCCAGCATGCTGCCCTTCTGCTCATTTTCTGCCTTGGGCCCCAGAGGATCTTCAAGCTAAGGCTCCATGGAAAGCAGACTGCTATTTTCCAGGGAGGTAGGGACCTCCAGCTTGTTGATTTTCAGCTGCATCAGCTGAAGGACAGCCGGCTTTATAAAAGAGAGGGTACCTGCAGCATAGCAGACACGGTGGAGCAGGAGATAGGATGGGGTATTCGAAAGCTTTGCTGGCCTGGCAGCTTCCTGGCTGGCTGTGGTTGAGGAAAGTTGGGGCTGCACAGTCTGCAGGCATGGCAACATATCCTGCCTGGAGTGCAGGTGTCCATGTGTGCATGCACACACCCAACAGCAGCGGGTCACAGGAAACACCAACATCTCCCAAGGCAGGAAGATAGCCATAGAATGAGGGGGGAAGGAAGGTGCTCTCCATTCAGGCCAGAGCTCTCTATAGTAACAGGAATGCCACTGGCATTTTGAGAAAGAGAGTTCTTCATGCTTTAGGATATTTGATGAGGCCAACTCCTAAGCACAAAACACCAGCAGCACCAACACCCAGTGCCCCACCTGCCCAGCCCAGCATTGTGACATTCACAGCCACCCAGCAGATTTCCACATACTCCTTAACAGATCAGCACTGCCCCCACCAGGTCACTGGTTTGGCTGCTCTCTAGTTTGCAGTCAGTGCAAAGCCTCTGATCTCTGCATTTGAGAGTCTGATCACAGGGTGGATGGGCGTTGGGAAGGGAGATCTAATGAGTATGGCTTCTTCATGTTCCAGAATTTGTCTCTTCAAGGACCCAGTCCCAGAACAACCCAGGGTGCCCATGTCGGCCCCTGCCACAGCCTCCCAGGGCTGCTCCTCCCCTTTGTCCACGAAGGCATTCACCAGCTTTTGGCACATAGAGCAGAGTTTGTGCCAGTGGCCAAGGTGGAAGCCAGCATGGCAGCGGGGCACTGGCATAGGCAGGAAGCCATGGCTGGAAGGAGATGCAGAGCAGGTGGAGGGTGCGGTGGTGCCTGCCTTGTCAATGATGTCCTTGCATGCACCAGGGCGCAGAGCTCTACCTCCTCACTGTGGTCATCGAGCACCCAGTGCCTCAGTATCTTGAGCACCAACTTGAGCTCTCCAGCAGCTCCAGGTACATGGCTGTGACACCACTGTCTTGCTGACCTCAGTGGAGACATACCAACGATGAAGCTCTGCTCCTGCTCCCACGCTGGGATGCCAGGGATAATGGACTGGGCCGTGAGCCGGTAGCCACGGTCATCCATCATCACTGTGCCCAGTGTGCACAGCCCCTCTGTGTCCACCGCCTTATGTTTGTGCCCACCATTCAGGTCAGTGGTGGGTGCTACGGAGGCCACCACGTCCCCACCAAAGTCCTTGTGGTAGTACAAGGCTATCACCTGTAATCCCAGCACTTTGGGAGGCTGAGGCAGGCAGATCACGAGGTCAAGAGATCAAGACTATCCTGGCCACCATGATGAAACCCTGTCTCTACTAAGAATATATAAATTAGCTGGGTTGGTGGTTCATGCCTGTAGTCCCAGCTACTTGGGAGGCTGAGGCAAGAGAGTCACTTGAACCTGGGAGGCAGAGGTTGCAGAGCCGAGATCTTGCCACTGCGCTCCAGCCTGGTAACACAGCAAGACTCTGTGTTTTGGCATGACCATTATGGGCCTGGGGGAAGATGAGCTGATTTCATCTCTCTGTTTATAACCATGATGTGGGAGCCTCATTTCACATGCACAGATTCCCTCCAAAGACTAGATGAACAGGCCTGAGCCCCCATGGTACTTGGAGTGATGACAGCCTTGTCCCCATGCCATTCTCTCTTCCCACACTTCTTGTTTCAGGCCATCGTGCATTCAGTGCCTCCATGGACAGAGATCCAAACCCAGGTACTCTCACAAATCTGGAGCCAATTCTAAAGTTTTTTGAATTCCAGCTCAGCTCAGACTGTCACCTGCTTGGGACTGTGGGTGACTGTGGACTCTGAACTGGGATGTGCTGTGTCCATGTGACAGTCTTCCTCCCCAAGAGTTGTTCAAGAAGGTGGTGCCCTAGGAATGCCATCTGGACTCAGTGGAACAAGAAGGGCAGGTAGCACCTGGCACCACTGTTCATGCCGCCGTCACCCAGCTTCACAGTGTGGTTATTTGAAGAAGCCTCTGCTCTATGAAAATCCCAATCAACAACAACAACAACAGAAACAACAACAACAACAGTACAATTTAAAAACATAAAAAAAGAAAATCCTAATTTTGCTGGACTTTTTCAGCAGGAGAAGTGATATTTTGTAGTCTTTATAGTTGACAAGTCCAGGATCTTATAATGCTAACTTCTCTTTTTAAGATAAGATGGAATTAGTACGCCGAATACCGATGAAATCCATGCTGACGGCCATTCTCATAGCGGCGACATCTTGATGCAAGTCCTTGTATTCACACGGCCGTGACATAGCCTAGGAAAGTCAATCGAAGAGAAAATGGGTACAATTTTTAAAAAGGCTCCAACATTTTTTAAAAGGCATCATTGATGAGAAGCCACACATACAGCTTCCTTTAGAGGGTTCCCTTGCAGCTGCTTTGGCTGAGGTTTACACTGCCAGGTGCTGAGGATGCAACTCCCGGCCCATTCACCAAGGTAGTCTCCTTTAAGAGCTTTGAAAAGATCGCCACACCCAAGAGGAACTTACTTTATAATTTAAAAATTGGGCTCATTGCTTGATGATACTGTCACATAAAAAATAAAATAGGGCTCCTAAAGATTTTAAGAGTATTGTGACAAGCTTGTAACAATACTATCTGTTACCTGTGCACTTGTTCCTTCAACATAATCAACATACACTTGTGCCAAACAATCAACTTACTCAGCGATTCAAATTCTACGCAATCCTTAGTAGTTACTACACACTCCAAGCAGATTTTAATGAGGCAGATGCGTGCTGGGCTGTTTTGGAACATCCAAGGAGTCTAATGATTGAAGCACCAAAAGGTGCTACTTTACTTGCACATTGTGGTAGATAAATGTATTATTCCAAAGTACCACCAAGACACCAGAGACGGTGCCAATTTTAAATGTGTCTATTTCAGTTGTAATTTTCCTGTATACTCACCAAGAGTCATAAGCCATAAATCTTATGTTGTCCCCTGAAGCCATTTTCATTAAAAACCCATGCCCTTCCTACACCTAGTACTTGAAACATTGGCACCTTATACAGTCTAAGCACAAGTCTCTCAGCCACTACTGCTTTGTCTAACAAACTCCTGGGACTGCACTGAGATATATAGAATAGACAAGGACACAAAATTGCAAACTGCTTAAGTAAAAGACAGTCAAGAGCAGTCAGTGCATTGTCTATTTACATATAATTAGGAATACATCTGCATTTATTCACGAATGTTATGTGAACGGGTAGAGACTAAAATCAAAACCCATTAAGAACAGATTAAATTTAATTAAAAATAGTCTGAATTATGGTCAAAGCAGTGAGAATATCAATAAGTTTTTAAAAATATATATCCCTGGCTGGGTGCAGTGGCTCATCCCTGTAATCCCAGCACCTTGGGAGGCCAAGGCGGGCAGATCACCTGAGGTCAGGAGTTCGAGACCAGCCTGACCAACATGGAGAAATCCTGTCTCTAATAAGAATACAAAATATCCGGGCATGGTGGTGCATGCACATAATCCCAGCTACTCGGGAGGCAAAGGTAGGGGAATCGCTTGGACCCAGGATGTGGAGGTTGCAATGAGCTGAGATCGCGCCATTGCACTCCAGCCTGGGCAACAAGAGCAAAACTCCTTCTCATAAAACAATAATAACAATAATAATAAGGATTCTTATATAAGGCATAAAAGACAGGAAATATGATGCCAAAGGAATAAGCATTTTGGTCTGTTAATTTTAAGGCTTTCATTTTCCTAATCACTACTTAATATGATTTTGTCACAGATGTTGGCTTTTGTGGTCAATGGGAAACTCCACTAGGTGACTTCACAGCCTTACCTTCAATCTCTGTGCTTTAGCTTTGTGAAGAAAACTAAATATAAAATACAGGTCATGGTCGTATGCCAAGGCATGCAAGTCAAAGTAATATTTCGCATAAACACTGGTAGACACATGAATATTAAACTCAGGTAGCTCCAAAAAACACTTCTCCATCTTACTCCTGGGGGAGGAGAAACACAACAAAGCCAACACAGGGCAATTTTAGTCAAGTGGGTTATCTTTAAAAATATCACTCTGAGCTACTAGGAGGCTCCAAATTCTGTTTTGAAACAAATAAAGGCTGCCTGGTCAGGTCCTTACACTAACGTCCAAACAAGGCATAGCTGCTTGGGGTCTCGTCGGCATCCCAGCACCCCAAGTTTGGGATGAGGGATAGGCAGAGGCCTCTTCTGCACTCCTCCTGCTGACCTGGGGCTTATTCTTCACAGTTCCCTTAGGGTAGCTGCACAACTCAGACCCCACGCTCACTCACAAAACCCGCAATCAAGATCAGATGACAGGATGATGGGTACCATTTACTAGCTCTGAAGAAGCTCTATGCATGTTTACCAGGACGATAACAGGAAGGGACTTACTGAAGTAGAGAAGCACCAACAGGAAGATGGGGCACATCACCATGGCAACAAATGGACCCATGGAGACCCACCCTATTACCTCGGAGGAGGAAAAACTCTAAGGCTACAAGGAGGATTCATCCCAAATAAATACATAAGCAAGATACATTCCATGGCAAAAAGAATCCCCTTCCCTCTGCCCCAGCACACAAGGCTATGTCAAGGACACATAATGCAAGTTTCTGCTCACCTTAATATTATGAAGAGACTGGGGAAGAATAACATTTACAATTTGAAAGGCAGAAAAGTCAAGGAGAGGCATTTTGGCTCGACTAAACTCATTTTATAATGTGATTTATAGTAGGGCCCTGGCCTTAACACATGCAGTGTTGCTCTTGAGTTGGGAATGCAACCCTGAAGAACTCAACATCTGTCACCCCTGGACAGAACAGAATGTGGGGAAGTTGGACGCAATGGGAGAAGAAAGGACTGGGAGCCGTCCTCTGCCTCATGGTCACCCAGCTGCCCTCACCAAGGCTAAATTAATAGGTACACAGTTAGAGTCATTCTGGCTGCTTTCGGAGTAACCCCTGCAATGAGTTAATTGATTAAAAATGATCAATATCTGAACAATACATTTGGTTTCTTGGTTTGAAAGTTTTAACATTTTACCCACTGGCTGAGTCAACAAATGCTTGAAAGCGGGGGCAGTTAGACTACAAGCCAAGACGTGGGGATCTCATTCGCTGAACTTAAAACCAAACTGAACCTACTTCCAAAATTAATTTCCTGTTCACATGTCCATAAGTCTATAGAAATGTAAATCAAACAATATTTGAATAGACAGCTAATCAGGACTTGACTTACTATCAGAATTAAAGGCACTTCACAGAATTAACATATCTATTAATAGAGGTTTAACCGCTGAAGAAAAGAATTCTGTGTACAGACTATGCATCTTCTAGGATTTCTGGTTTTTTAAAAGGCTAGATGATTAAATAGCATACCCTTTATGACACAGCATTTCTGAATAGTGGCTACTCAGTTTTACTCTCTAGAAAGAAAATATATTCTAGGGAGACACATAGATCTTGGAAAGTTTTAAGAAAAATCTGATGGACAGCAGTTTTTTATCTATTAAATTGACACTCAAAATGGGATCATTGCAAACAGTCAACAGCAGTGGGTGGGACACATGGCTATTAAACGCTTGGACGTAATGCTTTTCAGCTTCCCAAGATCATAAACAGAAGCAGCCTGTTCAGAGCATAGCTCCTGGTGTTTCTCCGTTCACACACAAACAGCTCTGTTTGGAGCCGGTCTTCTTGGGGCTGGCCTCTGCCTCCACTGCTCCTGGAGCTCACTTCTGTGGAAAACTGCACATATCCTCGCATGTTCTCTGATCTTGTGACTAGAAATCAGAGCCCCAGCCAGCTTAGCTGCAGGTTTTGAGAACAATTCAGCTGCCAAAATGGCAGAACTAAGTGTTCATGATTACAAATTTGAAACCACCTTTGCAAAAATTGTAACTGAGAAAATTATGACAGTGAAAGAGGGCTGATCTGACTTCATCTCACTTCTAACTTCCAAGCTGTCCTTGTTCATTCCTACGCAGAGGCCAAATTAACTTTGGAAGGAACTTAGTTTGTAGTTTAACTTTGAAACAAAGATGGTAACAATCCTTTCCCAAAACAAACCCCTTTCCCACCTGGGGACTAGATAGATGATCTTTCTAGAACTAATAAATTAGCCACAAGATTAGAAATTGTGGCTTAGGAGTCATAAGGCTGAAGGCTGCAAGAATCTGAACCTCCCCGTATTGCTCCTGGGAATAGCATCACTATTGTAAAATCTAAAACCAGTGCTTGAGATATTTTGTAGACCCTGTACTGGGATTAAGTGGCACCACCCCAACAAATAAACGTGGCTCATACGGTTCTGTGGCCCCCACCCAGGAGCCAACTCAATGCAGGAGGACAGCTTCAACTCCCTATGATTTCATCGCTGACCTGACCAATCAGCACTCCCCACTTTCTTATTCTTTTAAAAAACCATCCCAGAGTTTTCAGAGAGACTAATTTGAGTAATAGTAAAACTCTGGTCTCCCGTACAGCTGTCTCTGCATGAATTCAACTCTTTCTCTATTGCAATTATCCTGTATTGATAAATCAGCTCTGGCTAGGCAGCAGGCAAGGAGAAATCAGGCAGTCACAAATTTTGCTTCCTTTGAGGGACCAGTTTGCAAATGGATGACTACGATTAAACTCACGTTAGCATTTGCAACTTTCAAAGTACTTCATTTGTTTCAAATTCATTTGCTGTCACACTCTTTGCTAAAATGGCTACCACAAATATCACAATGATCACTTGGTTTATACTATTAGCAAAGTGGTGGCAAAAATGTTTTTTTTTCTTTGTTTCTTAGAGAGAGTCTGGCTCCATCACCCAGGACTGGAGTGCAGTCACATGATCACAGCTCACTACAGCCTAAACTTACCAGGCTCAGGCAATTCTCCCACGTCAGACTCCCAAGTAGCTGGGACTACTACAGGCACCTGCCAACACACTTGGCTAATTAAAAAAAATTTTTTTGTATGGACAGCCTTCACTGTGTTACCCAGCAGGTCTGAACTCCTGTGCTCATGCGATCCACTCGCCTCGGCCTCCTGAAGGGCTGGGATCACAGGCATGAGCCACTGAGCTGAGGCGCCAAGTGGTTATTTTTGAATGTAGATACATACACCCTGCAGTATATCTACAATATATGCTATATCTTCAATTGTAGACGTACACTGAGGTGATTCTGAGTAACAGTCCTATCTGGAGTCACGGGCAAAGATCACAAAACTAACTTGTACCGCTGCCTGGCATCATCTTTTCTGCTGCTGCTCAATGTAAACAAGAGCTGCTCACTCGTCTTGCACCAGATGCAGCCGACACAGCTGTCCTCACTGTCCAGTGGGCACCCAGGGCGGCTCTGCTGGAAATGCCCCCCTGCTCACCCTGCCTGCCTGCTTCAGGGCCCTTCACTTCACAGCAGTCATAAGGCCAAATTGGAAGGGAACCCTGGGGAAGCTGTGTTTCAGTGTCATGTTGGTGCATCTGGGAGGAACCCCATGACCCCACAAGGCTTCCCGTACTCTCATAAATAACTACTGGCCCCCAGCCTGCTTCTGTGAATGTCTGAGTACCCAGGGAGTCTGTGAGTGTGGTGGGCATGGGGTGATACCCAGAAATGCTTCTCACACTGCGGGAGGTGAACGCGGAAACTTCTAACTCATCAGACCGATTTCCAAACACAGGCAATGTTCCCAATGGGGATGAGCCAGGGCACAGAAATCTGTAGCTATTTAACATCATATCTCAAGGTTCCTATAAAAACAGATCTTCAGATGAAAGGCGGAGACAAGGACCAGCAAAAGCAAATACACAATGGGTGACTTAGGTTAAAGCTGTAACTTCTGCATAGTCCAGAGGCCTTAAGACCTTAACAGTGGCCAATTATTTCAAAGGCCAGATGTTTGCCCCTTGAAAGGCGACTGAAACTGGCAGGTGGCCTTTAAAACACTATAAAGATATTCACTGTACTATGTCATTCTGACAGCACACTTGTAAGAGGTTTGCCAAAAAACAATCAGGAAAACACTTTTCGGTTTATCAGCCAGTTATTACAACAATAACACATCAAGACTTACCCATTAATGGTGGAAAATTTAAACTGTTATACCAAAGCTGGATAGATTGAAGTCTGTGGTCTTATGCCTATTTCCTTTATCTGCACAATGAAACCTATAAAGATATTTCTTACAGTGATCACTTGGAGAGCAAATGAGGCATGGAAAATGATGACACAGTTTGCCAAAACCTTAAAACTCACATTGTCTCAACTGCAACATCCTTGGGATTCTGGCTGTCATCCACACTCCAGTGACGACGATTTCTCCAAACCTTAGAGGCCAGAAGCATGGCTCTGAGGACAATTTGTTTCCAATTAGTAGGACAAAGATCGATGTTAGCATTAGTTAAAAGGCGTTCAATATACACCTGTAAAATAGAGCACTTGTCTTTGATTTCAGTTCTGTTTCACTGTGGTGATAAGAACATTTAAGAATGAAAGACTTCTTCTGGTTTTGGCCAGAAAGTAAGTGCCCTTTATTCTTATGTTCTGCAGAGACTTTGCTCAGACAAAGTGAGAGGCCAAGTCACAGTCATAGTCAGATACCTCTGCAGCATACTCTGCCCATAGAAATTTCCATGCCAATTTCATTCACAGGGATGTTGAGCATGAAGGAAGGCACCTTCAGCACCTTCACACTCATGAAAGGCAGCACAAACACAGGCCTCGTGCAGATTAAGGTTGTTCAGGAAACACTACAGTGCCATCTGCGTGCAGCATCACACCTGGCTGGCAGGTAGATAGGAATTTTACAGGTGTGCCATGCTCGAATGTGTAGCACCCAAGTCATACTGAGAAGACTGCTGTCTTTTCCTTTTCACAATAACTAACCCACTCTTGGGACACAGGCTTAGGAACTGCGGGTCAAGAGTGTCTGCCAGTGCCTGCCAGGCAGACAGCATGACAAGGGCAGGTCTCTGTTGCTGAGAAGCAGTCCCTGTATTCAGTGCCTTGATGAGGAACGCATGTGAATGAATGGAGGGTCCTGCTCACAGCCCCTATTTTCCATGTCTCCACAATCACTTCACGAAAACTTATTTCTTGTCCTACAGTATCTGCATTCAGTCAATTCTGTGGGTTTGAAGGCAGAGAGAGCTGCCGGCCTCTGCATCCTTGGGGTGCCTCTAAACCTGTCAAGCAGTTTGTGAGATAATCTCAGAAAGTATTTCAGAAAGTATTCTCTATCTATCCAATATCTATCCTATAAAGAACTGGATGAGGGATGAGCTGAGTGAAGTTTACAGAGATAAGCTGTGAGGTGCTGCTACCTCAGAGGGTGCTCTGTAGAAGAGTATGACTCTATGCTACTTGAAGTCTTTGTATCAAGGTGAAAGGAAAACAGTTCATTTTAAGAGAGCTCATTTATTGTCTGAACATTATCAGATTGGCGGCCCAGATCTGGCCATGTTCTCCAAAGTCAACTGTGTTTTCCAAATCACATGGCCCTTGAACCTGACATATTCTTATGAGAGATGCTGCTCCCTTTCTCCAAAACTCTGCACTGTCAGGTATTCAAGGAATAACCCTCCCTCCCAGGGTTCAACTCCACAGGTCTCATTAGAGAGCACTTAAACAGCGCTGGCGAGCCCTCAACTTCCTGTCACCTTTACTGGTAAGCCAGTGACCTGCTGACACTCATCGATATCACTTGCCCTCCTGGGTCAGTGAGAAAGTTCCTCTTTTAACATCGACTCTTCTATCAGCATAATGGATCCTATCCCACTTTTGCAGAACACTGTTTCCCAAATCACCTCTTCTTGAAGACTTTCTCCCTCTCTGCCAGAGATTTTCCCCAATACAAACCTGTTGCCTGTTCCCATCCTGCTCCCCCCATTTCCCCCAGGACATCCTCTCATTTGCTCATAGTGTCATGCCCTGGTGCCAGCTCCTCACCTCCCATCTCTCCTTAACCACCCCCTACCCCCATCACTCACCATAGACTCCTCTTGCTGAGGTCCCTGGAGCCTTCACACCCACAAACCAGAGCCCTTCACCCCCAGGCTCCACTTCCCAACCTGGCCCTAATCTTGTCCAGGGAATTGCCATTGGCCTAGCTCCTGGGGACTAATACTTACATGTGAGTTACCCTCCTCCAATCCGTGTGCAATCCCTCTATGGCTACCTTCACTGGCAGGCTGACTGCTTCAGATTCTGTGCCACCAAGTGTCACAGCTCACCTGTAACAGTCTAGTTGCTTCTTAGTCCTCTTCTCTGCCCCACCCTCCTCACAACTATGGTCTACTCTCCCCAGAGCAGTTGGAATACCTCTAAATTAAGAACACTGCACTACCCTGCTCAAGATCTACCATTAGTCCCCACTTCAAACTGGAATGAAACCTTAACTTCGTCCCCTGGTCTGCAAGCCAAAGGGCTCTGTGAACTATGGCACCGCCTATGCGGCCTCATGTTTTCCATTCTTTCCTTCATTTCTCTCACAGGCGGGCTCCCTGCTGTCTGTTCCTTGAACACACAGATAATGTGTTCCTGTCTCAGTCTTGGTACTCATCCCACTGCCTGTAATGCCAGCACTCCTTATCAGCCTCACTTTATAGTCAGGTCACTGCTCAGATGTGACTTCTCTAGAGAGGCTCTTCCTGATCATTCTACCTGAAACAGCGAGCCCCTCCCATCACTCTCTCTGTATCCTGCTTTATCATTTTGCTATTTGCCATTACCTAAAAAAAAAAAATGCTTTCCTCATTAAAACAAACGCCTCATAAAGACAAGGACTGTGCCCGGCCTGTCCTCTTCCCTACCCCAGCACTTAGAAGAGTGGCACAGGTTTGGCATCCCAGGGGTGTTTATGCAATGGGCACCTTCTTGGCAGCATGTAGCACTGTGACCACAGCCTTTCCTATCATGAACCCTTTGTTCTTATCATTTTTTCCTGCTCTTCCTCCTCCCACTCTGGCACTTTACTGGGGGTTTGTCCCTTACATGCTAGTAATCTTTACACAGCTATCTTTTATCCATCTTCTCTTTTTTTCCTTTTCCTGAGTAGCTGCGACTATACGTGTGTCCCACCATGTCCGGCTTGTCCACTTTCATTCTAAACACTTTCTTTGCATTTGAGCAGCTAAGCTTTTTTCTTTTTTTCCCAGAGTTTTGCTGTTGTGCAGGGTGGAGGGCAGTGGTGCAATCTTGGCTCACTGCAACCTCTGCCTCCCAGGTTCCAAAGATTCTCCTGCCTCAGCCCCCCAAGTAATTGGGATTACAGGTGTCCACCACCATGCCCAGGTAATTTTTTATATTTTTTAGAAGAGACAGGGTTTCACCATGGTGGCCAAGCTGATCTCGAACTCCTAACCTCAGGTGATCCGCCTGATTTGGTCTCCCAAAGAGCTGGGATTACAGGCGTGAGCCATCGTGCCTCTTCTTGAGCAGCTACTCTTACTCTTCATTCCTTACCTCCAGCTCAGATTCATGCTCCAGTCCCATACATCCAAATGATGACTGCACTGCTCAGATTCATGCTGTTCCATAGATTCACATAATGACTGCACACGTCACTCTGCTATCTCACAGGCACACCAAATTTAGCCTGTATACAGTGAACTCCCCCTTCTTCCAATCCAGCTTTCCCTCCTGCATCAGCTCTCTCTCTCTCCATCTGGAAGTACCACTCCTGCTTCCCTCCAGCATGTGCTGAGCATTCCCAATGGCTGCAGCTCCATTAAATGGCCTGCATCTGATCCAGTGCTCATGGACAGGTTTCTATGCAGGTGCCCAGCAGAAGCCTTCAACCCTGAGCTCTAGCCAGATGCTAAAGGAGAGGGACTGCTCTAAGTATCCTTTCTCTCCAGGCCGTGTGGTTGACATTCCTCTACAGGTTAGTGTGGGGAGGGGTCAAACAATCCCAGCCATCTGAACGGGACTTTATATTCAGGATGAGTCTCACCACAGGAATTCTGTGAGAACCATGTAGAGGTAAAGACACAGCTATGGCTTGGCAGGCTAACTAGCAAAGCCCATGTCCAAGTCTTACTGGTTCCACATTCCTGGGCAATTTCCCGAGCAGGCACAAGAGGTCACCAGGAACAACAAAGCATTCAGAGCAGCAGCTCCAGGTCAGAACTGTGGGGAAATACAGCCTGGAACTCAGCTTAGACCTACATTGGAATCTGTTGAGGGAGAAACCAGAAGTCTCTCCTGCTGCTTTTGGTAGCAATTATTCTGTGATAAGAAAAGCAATGGCATCATTTTAAAACATGACGATGATTAAACTCTAATATGTGTATTTACTTTGCTTGCATAGGTTTCTCTTAAAAGATCTCATGATAACTTTAGGAACTGACTTTTATATAGAAACATGGCCATACACTGTGTAGGAGACCAGTTATTAAAGATGCTTTATAGACAAGAAATAGCTTACCAATGCTACCATTGCACATGGAGCTGTTAGTTTTGTGACTTTAAACAGATTACAGAAATATCTGAAAATGCAGTTGCGTGTGGGATCATCCTCAGAGGATTTCCCTGGAATCTTTTCTTGCTGAAAGAAGAAAAAAGGCAATATAAATATTCATTCAAGAAAACTTCTTAAATACTCTTAAGATGGGAATGTTCAAATTTGTGCCCACATGTCCCTTACAATAATTTTGCTGGGATAAAATGTCTTTTAGTTCTAAAAATACAAACAGCTATTTTTGGTTTTCTGTGAACATAGGTGCTAAGGTGGCCCTGTGGCTATCATATGCCTGAAGAAGGAAGTTTTTAAGTTTTCATAGCATTTAAACAAATTTAAATTTAAATTGTTTTCTAATTCTATTCACAGAGTTTGTGCATATTTGTTAGGACTACTTACAAATATTTATATTGTTTGCTGCTATAAAAATTATCTTTTAAAATGACACATTTTGTTATTTCGATGGTATGTTTATTCCCCTTAGCGCACAAATTAAACAAAGCTGTAAGTCAGCTCTTTCTCCAGTGTGTCCAATTTACAACACTCCTTACATAAGATGATTAGACACAACTTAGCGAAGACTTAATGGTGAATAATTTTGACTTCATCATGAAATTAACACAACTCTTTAAGACATAAACAGAACCTCAGAGAAAGTGACACTTACTGAAAGTGGATGTATTGGTTCATCAAAAATAGCCAGAGATCTATTTGCATATCTGTAAAAGACGAATGTGTATTTAAGAAATTAATTCAGGAATTGTTACTATCTCAGTAAAGTATCAGCTGGGAGCAGGGCATGGAGGGTGGAGGGAGATACTTCTTGTTTGCTTTGGTAAAATTTGTTCACCAAAACGGTTGTTGCCAATTTTTCTCCTGGATCCCGGCCTTCAGAGGGTTTCTTGACCTCTTTTTCATCAGCACATCATGTTCTGAACTGGGAAGTCTTTTCTACATTGACGAGCCAGACTTGCCTTTAAATACTGACTCCTGCTAACAGGCAATGGTAATAAGCTATATCTATTTTTACTCCTCTAACCTCACGGTGAAACACAAGAACATTTTAGAAAGCAGTAGTTGTTGGCAATAAAGATTTTAGAACTTTTTAGAATCAATTAAGATTTCCCAAATCTTTCTTTATTATACTTTATGTTTGCTGAAGTAGTTTGAGTTACAGACTTAATTGCCTTTTTATTTTAAAAGAGGCCAGTCTTTAATGAACTTTAAAAACTAACACATGATGTGATCATTTAGGAAACCAGTGGTTCTCCCAATGTGGTTTGTGGACCCCTGAGATTCCCTTGGAGACCCAGGATGTCGAAACTGGTTGTTGTTGTTGTTGTTGTTACAGGGTTTTGCTCTTTCATCCAGGATGGAGCATAATGGTACAAACCTGACTCACTGCAGGCTTGACTCTGTGGGCTCAAGCAATCCTCCTGCCTCAGCCTCCCAAGTAGCTGGGACGAAATGTCCACACCACCATGCCCAGCTGATCCTTTTTTTTTTGATAGATGGGGTCTTGCCACATTGCCCAGGCTGGTCTCAAACACCTGATTCAAAGTAATTCTCCCACCTTGGCCTCCCAAAGTGCTGGGATTACAGGTGTCAACCACCATGTATGGCCCAAACTGTTCTTACAAGAATACTAATTCGACGTGAGAAGCTGATTGAAAATAAAACACACAAATAATTTATTACTTTTTAAAAGTATTAAGACATTGATTGCTTTCTTCCTGTTCGACACTTGTAATGACAGTTTAAAAGCAAAAGTGGGTAAAACTGATGGTTTCTCAGTATGAATAAGGGCAGTGGTACCAATTATACCAGTATTCATTCCACTCTTCACTGCCCCTTGCAGTTTTTATTAAAGTAGCATGTCTCACTGAAGAATGTCCTTGATGAAACAGTAAAAATTAATGGTGTTATTAAATCTTGACCTCTCTTTTTAGCATTCTAAGTAAAAAGTTAGAAAGTTCACATAAAGCGCTTCTGCATACTGAAGTATGGTCATGTTAAAGAAAAGCACTTGTGATTAAATTGTGAGCTGAACAAGCCAATTTTCCACAGAACACCATTTTTATCTGAAAGTATAACTGACTATTATCCATAAAATTAAGTCAAGTGAGTCTGTCATTTCAAGGAAAATAACAAGTATTTGTCTATAATAAAGCTAAAACTTTCAAGCTAAAAATCAGGACTTTGAAAACTCATACCTACTGCTGTGAGCTTGACAGCATCTCCATATTTGAAGACATTTTTATAATGGTGGTGATACTAATGAAAGTGAGTTTTTGACACTATAAATAAACCAAGTAGCCAATGCATAATATTGTAAAAGCCAGTAAGCGGAAAGATCCCTTTATTGTACAAGAAAGATCAGTGACTTTTAGTGAACAAATTCATTGATATGTACAATCCCGCTACAACTATTTTAATCAGTTAGCACTTCTGGAGCTTTGGTGGGGTTAAAAAATACCCACAGTTACCTGAAAGCTTTAAAAATACGCCTTTTTCCTACTATATATTTGCGTGAGGCTAGGGCATCTTTTTACTGCTTCTTTACAAATAAATTGCAAACAAAGACATAAACAAATACACTTTGGAACACTTAATAATTTAAAAGAGTCTTACGGACCAAAAAACCCACAAATGATTCACTGTAACACTGTAAAATAAGCACTCTACAGCTTATAATGTTGAGAGTTATGACCTGACAGCATGGTTTGTATGACACAAAGTGATGAGCTGGAATAACAAGACAGGTTTCAAAGAGCTCACCTGTGCTTTATGTTGTAATATATTGCCAAAGTCACACTGTGGAGGGAAAAAAAATTGTAAGAACTGATTTTATCATTTGTTAGGCCTGAAGATATATTTCTAAAGTGGGGGGGGGAGGGAACCCTCTCAGGGGCCCTGAAGTCCTCTATTCAAAACAGTACCATATGAGCACTTTCCTTTTGTTTTAGTCCTCTGGCTTTACAGCAAAAATAGGAGAACCAAAATGCTAGGCAATATGCTGTTCGAAGACTTGTGTCTGCAGATGGTTATTATGTATAAATAATGACATACTTTCCCTGTCATTTGCTCTTCTGCCCATAGAACCTTTCATTCTGTGCAAGTTACTTATATCTATGTGTACATATGCTTACATTTAGGCCAGACCGTAGTGTTTTGCTTTTTAAGTTGCTAGACCCTGCATTTCGGCTGATTTAGTTCACCATCACCTACTTACCCATTTGTCATTATTTCCCTAAAAGCACAGAATGAATGTGCTTTATACCAAATAAAGTAATTTAAAATCATCTATGCATGATTAGCAGAAAATTTATTAGTAAACATTATAATGCATACAAAAATCGATGACACTTGTAGCTCTCCTAAAATAAGCAGTATTAAACACACAGTGTAACACCACATCATACAATGTTAATGACAGGTACTTCCACATTAGTTTAAACAAAATATGAATGAACAAATACAACTCTTTGGAGGTATGTTACTGTGTTCCAAAGTCATACACAGATGTTGTGTGTCAGGAAATAGGGGCTTCTCTTTGATAAGTTCTGTCCTTCCATTTACCCTCAACATTTAAAATGAGGCTCAGAATAATTAGAGAAGGCAAATTGGAGTTGTAAAAAGTAGGCCTTACAACATTATTAGCATCTAAGATAGATATTTCTATAGTGCTTCCAACAGTTTCATCTCCAAATTTTAAGATCACAGAATTTGAAGTTACATGCTGACAAGGACCACCGAACCTCACATGACACTCCATGCGCCACCCATTTTACAATTAAGAGAACCAAGGCTTAAAACTGATTTGCCCAAGGTCCCCGAACAGTGTTCCTGTAAACTGCAGGTGTTCACAAAACACTATGGCATGGTATAAATTGAAGCATATGCACACATAGATAGAAATGACTCGCACAGAGGAAAGGCTTTATGGGTAGAAAGAAGAGCAAATGACAGGGAAATCATGTAATTTTTATATTAGAACCATCACTTTTTCACACAAAGGAAGCAGTAGCCTCCACATTTGCTGTACACTAGATCACCCAGGGAGCTTTAAATAGGGCCTCAATGTCAGCTGGAGACATTCTGATTTAATTGGCATTGAGTTTGCTTTAGGCATCAGGGTGGTTGGTAAAGTTCCCCAGGCGATTCCAATGTGCAGCAAAGTTTGGGAATGACTGAATTAGGGTTAAGATCAGAATCATCTGGGATGCTTTTATCCATATAATGATGTCTCAGATACTTCCTCATTTTCCTAAAAGGCTTGTGATTGCCCAGAGTTGGAGGGAAGGTGGAACTGGGAAGATGCACGTGTTTGCAGACATATATTTTGAAGAAACAGTATAAGTGATTCTAGTATGGCTCACTTCTTCCATTGAGAACAATGCTTTACTAACCATGAAACACATTTTTTCAAAATATTTCCTAAAAGCCAATTTGTTATATTAACTTTCTCAGTAAAACTTTATTTCATCAAAAGCAAATATACCATATAATTCCTTCTAAAACTGGAGAGTAAATTAAAACTTACTGTGCTTCAAAAATAGACTTCTAATCCAGGCATGGTAGCTTATGCCTGTAATCACAGCATTTTGGGAGGCTGACTTGGGTGTATTGCTTGAGCCCAGGAGTTTGAATCCAGCCTGGCCAACACAGCAAAACCCCTTCTCCAAAAAAGAAAATATATGTATTTCAATTTTTAAAAAAACTTGTAAAATTTAGACTACGCTGGAAGAAAAAACAGGACTTTTACTTGTTTGAACATGGGTAAGCTTAAAAACTACTTTTGAATTGCATACTGAAACATTAGAATCTTTTGAAATCAGAAAAGCCAGGGACTCTAGCCAAAAAAGGGTGGCTTTTTACTTAGGACTGAATACAAACATTAAGTGATGACACCATAGAGGTCAAAGCTCAGGGCTTTAGACACAGGTAGAGTCCAGTTCTTGCTGAAACACAATTGGATCTCAATTATTGTTATACATGAGAGAGGAAAGTCACATTATTATGAGTATAAACTGCCATTTTTGATTAAAGTAGAAGTTACTGACAAATTAGCTTAAAAACTAGTACTTTAGAGACAAAATTAAGCTTGTAACTTAGTCACGTTTATAGACTGGAAAGTCAAGTTAGGGATAAGGAGATTAACATTCTGAGGTACCACTTGTCAAACTGTTTTCTGATAATCAACACTCATAATCGAAGGAGCTGTTAATAATGTTTCCTGGGCATCTCCATTGGAGCTGGCTTTTTAAACCAACTTGACCCATCTTTTAAGGGTGTTTTGAAAGGGCATCTCTGATTGTGGCCTATGAAGTGCTGGTGCATGATGGGAAAATTTAAATGCAGATACACTATGGTGCCACTGGAGGACAAGCTGTTCCTTCTTCCAAGAGTAGTTTCCAAAGTAGTGCCCATCGTCTTAGGCCTATGGCCCATAAAGAACTAATAATTTTTCCTAGAAACATCCAATAAAAAGCATCTCTCCTGTCCATTAGGTTCAATATTGTCATATCATAAATGCATCAAATACATAGCCATGCTTTTTCTGGGATTGCTTATTTGCTAACTGGCTTTCCCTTTTACCAGTGTCTAAGATTAGAAGAGAAACAGAAAATTCATACTTAGGTCCTGAAAAATCCATATATCATTGACATCAACTTCTTCAACTGCTTGCTGAAAAGAGCAACCAAATGGCTGAAATAACAGCGGATGGCTGGGATGCTTTTAGCATACGGGGATCTGTCACTCAGCCCTTGGCAGCCTCGTTGTACTCACCTTTCTAATATGTGCCTGAGATCAGGCTCGCTGACTGTGCTGTTATCTGGCAATATGGTGGAACACGAGCTGTATTTTCTATCAAGATGCCATGGAGGTATCTGAAGAAGAAGGAAGATGGAGAAAAATATCACAGTAGGCTGAACTTACAAAAGTGTGGGTTTTTTCCCTTTGCCAAAATGTCAAACAATAAAGCATTAAGGTATTTTTTATACCCCGTGACCTGCCTGAGTGTGGTATCATGTGCAGCTCTATGGGAAACTCATTGGAGGCTCTTAACTTTCACAGATGATGTTTGAGAAATGGGTTATAAAATGCTGCCCTTGATATAACACTGATCGTCAAACCTGGCGAGCGTCTATTATAAATTCTCTTTATAAATAATGGGAAACATTTAAAATGGGATTTCATGTTTTTTTCTTATGCAGTAAAAAGCGCTGAGATTTTCTATTTCTGTTATTCATTAACTGCAACAAAATGTCATACATTAAATAATATTGACACAAGAGCATTTGATTGCAGTAAATGAAGACCTAACACTACATTTACTAAGTTACTAATCCTAAGTGTGTGCATTCAAGAGAGAGTGCGACGGAACCAGTGTGTTAGAGTCAGAGACTGTGTGTGCCAAACCTGCTCAGTCACCAAACAAGTGAGGGCCATAGGTCTCCCTGGGCCTGTTTCCTTGTGGGAGGATGGAAAAAGTACTGCTTTAAAGACTCTCTCACATTCAAAAATCAGATGATGAAGACAACTTTGGGAATTTAACTTGCACTTCATGTTTACATAAGACTGCTATTACGCTACTCAAATGAGAACTTCTGAGAATGCTCTGCATTCATTTCAAAAGTTAATTGATTTCATTCTTTAAGTTATTTGATGCACATTATGGCACATTCCTGCCTCACTTGTGCTGCTCTCTGTCTGGAATATATTCCTTTCCCCCTTGTCCCAGCAAGCTTGACCTCATCCACCTTCTGGGATCCCTTTGCCTGCAGCCACACCACAAAACATTTCTGGTTTTGTGTACTTATCAGTCTAATTCACCATGTGTTACATGACACAATTGCCTGCAGAGCATCCCCCTCATGAGAGAGTGAGCCTCTCCAGGGGAGGGAGGACCCATTCTCTCCTACCTGCAGCTGCTGAGCACAGAATGTGGGAGAAATTAAGGAGTTCAATAAGAGCTTGACAAATATTTAAATCAGTTACAATTTGGAAAGTAAATCTTCCTACAGATACAAATCAGTGAAAATTCAGCCACAGTGCTATCAGAGATATGACAGTGAACCTTTTGAGCCCTGTAGAAAATAAACTATCTCTAAAACACTTTCAAAGTATCTATTCATTTGTTGAGAGTGCAATAGTCAATATGGAAACTACCTCAACTATGTTAAGTAAATGTTCCTCCTGGCCAGGCGAGGTGGTTTACTCCTGTAATCCCAGCACTTTGGGAGGCTGAGGTGAGTGGATCACACAGTCAGGAGTTCAAGACCAGCCTGGACAAGATGGTGAAATCCCATCTCTACTAAAAATACAAAAATTAGCCAGGTGTGATGTTGGGTGGCTGTAATCCCAGCCATTCAGGAGGCTAAGGCACAGAATTGCTTGAATCCCGGAGGCGGAGGTTGCAGTGAGCTGAGACTGTGCCACTGCACTCCAGCCTGGGTGACAGAGCAGGACTCTATCTCAAATTAAAAAAAAGGAAGTGAGATATATATATATATATATATATATAGAGAGAGAGAGAGAGAGAGAGAGAGAGAAAGCTCTTCCTTAAAAATAATCCCAGTAGCCAAATGCCAGTCACCAAATAGTTGAAAATATCAACAGCATTATTTAAAACCACAAAATACCCATTATTTTAACAGGAAAAAAAACTAACTCAGATGAGCCTTCCTTCCTCCTCTTAATATGCTTGTTTGCATCATGTTATCACACTCTTCCATCAGGGTCTCTCACAAACACATTAAAGACAGAACAGGTTTGGATCTACTACTAACGAGCTAGTATGGAAAAAAAAGGCAGGGTAGGGAGAAGATCTAGTGGTTGTTTATAAACCTACACTGCATTTAAACATTGCCAGTAGCCAATAATCAGAAATATCCATAGAGTCCAACAGCATTTTGCTGCTTCAGATGTTTTTTACTGCAAATTCACTTATTTCTTAACCAAAATCCAAGATGCTTTTGAACAATATTACCATTTGAAGGACCAAATTACCCTTTAAGATAGAAATGTTTTAACTCTAGCTAAACTTTTATATTTCTTAAGCTATTCTGTTATAGTTTACATTAACAGTGTATGTATGTCAATGTATATACTTTTATTGTCTCAAAAACAAATATGGCATAAAAAAATAAAAATGGACTCATTCAGATACTTTCATTCAAAGGGAAAGAAGGTATCCCTTAAGGTCACTACTATTAGCGGCAATGCAGCGTAATACTTTAACATAACAAAATTCAATTCTGAGGAACATTCCATATATGAGAATAAAAATAACAGGAAAAATGCACCAAAACCCAGACTAGTTGGTACAGCTTTAGGTGACATCTGTCCCCATTTTTTTCATTTAAAATTTCCTATCACTCACTGTGACCTCCACCTCCAAGTTCAAGCAAGTCTCCTGGCTCAGCCTCCCGTATAGCTGGGACTACAGGCGTGTGCCACCACATCTGGCTAGTTTTTGTATTTTTAGTAGAGACGGGGTTTCACCATGTTGGCCAGGCTGGTCTTGAACTCCTGGCCTCAAGAGATCCACCTGCCTCAGCCTCCCAAAGTGCTGGGATTACAGGCATGAGCCACCACACCTGGCCCTCAAGATCACTTTTTCTCCCCACTTTTTTATAAGACATGTTTTAGATGTTTTTAAAATAATTAATGACTTTTAGCTAACTTGAAAATTTCCAATACTTTGTGCGCTAACAATATCACCTCCATCTATGTTGCACGGCAATGGAACCACATGGCATATATGGAGTTTGAACAGAATTATTACACAAGGCCTGAGTGGAAAAGTGTAATATGCTTATTATAGGTATAACTAGAAAATTATCTGAATTAATGTCATATTTATGTTCAATTTAAACTTAGATTTACACTTACATATAGGTTCTAAATTTGGGTTAAATATGATGGATTGACCACAAATTTATTTTCTCTTCCTTCTGAAATCTCATGAGAATTAGTCATAAAATAAACATTATACACAGGACCAGGAGACAGGATTGACAGCAGATGATTCTGAGTCAATGTTGCAAGGTGACAAGCAGATAGAGGAATGGTAACTGACATGAAAGCACAACCCTGGTGCCCACAGGGAGTGACTTGAACAGAAACAAGCAATCCTGTGTATTTTGAAGAACCCAACACAGTCTCCAAAATCAGAGCACATGGTACCTGGGAAGGTAGGGTGAAACACACAACAGAGCTGGCAAGGTCAATAGTAAATCTGTGGTTAGAACCCCAAGTCCATCTGCCCTCCCATCTTATAAGGAATATGTATGTGTATTCTCTGGATATATTATACCTGAAGGTTTCTGAGCTCAGACCTACCAGGGCTGAAACCTGGGAAATGGGAGTAAATGGCACACACAAACTGAAACTCCACCTTGCTTCCCAAACCTGCTTCTGGAAAGCCAGCAGCCACGCTTGCACTGCCCAGGCAGAAAATTGGGAGGCCCTTCTCAGAAGAAAACTGAATGAAGGCAAAGAAAATACCCTCATTCCCTCATATAATACACTGATGTCCCTCAAAGGAAAAGCTGCCTTGACATCCAAATCCCTACAGGGAGACCCCTCAGTGAAAAAAAGGTCCTGCTTTTTTTTAAAATTTATTTTTTATTTTTTTTATTGCACTTTCGGTTTTGGGGTACATGTGAAGAACATGCAAGATTGTTGCATAGGAACACATGTGGCAGTGTGATTTGCTGCCTTCCTCCCCATCACCTATATCTGGCATTTTTTCCCATGCTATCTCTCCCGAACTCCCCACCCCTGCTGTCCCTCTCATATTTCCCCCCAACAGACCCCAGTGTGTAGTGCTCCCCTCCCTGTGTCCATGTGTTCTCATTGTTCAACACCCACCTATAAGTGAGAACATGCAGTGTTTGATTTTCTGCTCTTGTGTCAGTTTGCTGAGAATGATGGTTTCCTGGTTCATCCATGTCCCTACAAAGGACACAAACTCATCGTTTTTTTATGGCTGCATAATATTCCATGGTGTATATGTGCCACATTTTACCTGTCCAGTCTATCATCAATGGGCATTTAGGTTGGTTCCAGGTCTTTGCTATGGTAAACAGTGCTGCAATGAACATTCGTGTGCATGCGTCCTTATAGTAGAACGATTTATAATCCTTTGGATATATACTGAGTAATGGGATTGCTGGGTCAAATGGAATTTCTATTTCTAGGTCCTT